ATTTAGTATAGAGCTTAGAAAAAATTGGCAGCGTGAGATAGGCAAGAAGTAAGGCATGTAGCAACATCAGCACGGCAAAGGGCACTCTTTTAAAGGCAAGCAAGGACAAAAATATTTTAAGTCAAGTGATAGCGATTGCTGTATGTGTCGTACGATTTTTGAATCAAGCTAGTTTATTCCATATTAATAAGCCATTTGATCAAATAGAAGCATGACGGGAAAGATGTTATAAATCGGAATTTTCGGGCACGCCTGTGTCCTTTCTCAACAAGACAAGAAATAGAAAAATAAAGGATATTTTTTCCGCATGTATTATATTACTGATCTAGTAGTTTTGAGCGAGTTGTTTGCAACAATTAGGGGTGTAGAAGACTTTTTTTGTGAAAACTGTGTTCATTGAGTATGCATAAATTCCTATTTAAACCTAGATTGTGTGAATTAAGTTTAAAAATGTATTTAACTCAAACTTTCGGCGTTCTTGTTGGCTTTGAAATGAAGACGCTAAAAGCACGCATCTGACATTATGACTTCTATGGCCCGGTTGGTTGAAATATGAAGCTACAGTTGTAAAGCGTTTGGTCAAAATTCCTAGTAACGTATTTTTTAATCGAGTTCACACAAAGCAAGTCAGTAAAGTTACTAAGATACAAGAGTTTACTGGGTATCGAATAATTAGAAATCAGAAAAAAATAATACATTTTCCCTCCTCACTAGGAGTAGGTAGGTTTGCCTATCACCCAGTTCATACTACTCTCCACCCCTTAAAAAGTGTAGTGCTTTATCCCTTGTTTTCTGTTTAGGATTGGGTTTCCAGTTCTTTTTAAAGTACTCTCTTTCACTCAAAGTAGCCCCTGGAAGATGTAGAGAGCCTTGATTTCTCACCTCCTAAACATAGATGGGGCATAAAAGAAGAATAGAAAGAACTACTCTATTGAATATATACTAGTCCTGGGTATGACGATAAACTAAATCTGGCAGCAAGACCTCTGATTGGGAGATTGTCAGTTTTGAGAAGCATGGAACCACTTCTTAATTGCTGTTGTTCGCAGATCTATCCTAACCCAGGGTGGTGGCACCTGTTAGGGTCCCAGCTATGGGAAAATAGTGAACCCCCAAACACTATGAATTATCAAAATACATTTTTATAGTAAAAATACCAGTAATATATTTTTTTTATATAAGAAAATTAACATATTTATAAATTATAAAATATCAAAAAATAAAATGATATGAAAAACAAAAGAAGAGTAATCTGCAGGATAGAAGATGGCAATTGACACTGCATTTAAATTTTTGAAGTTGACTGGAAAGCATTAAGCCTGAAAAGAGTTCCACAAGCGAGAAGGACGAGAAAAGAAACTGTTAGCATAGAACTTACGGTTACATCTAGTCAAATCAACTGTAAATTGATAAGACCTTGTTGCCAATCTAGTACTGCGATTAAATTAAAAAATCCTGGGTACCATAGCGATGAGCTCATCCGAAAAATTACCATGAAAGTATTTATAGAAAAGGCAAAGGAAAGCAAATTTACGGCGGTGGGAAATTGACTGAAGGCGAGATGCTGGACCCTGACCAATAATATTGCTGAAACTGAATTTTATCAAGGATCTCTAGATATATAGCAGCAGCATTGGACCACATGTGGCAGCAATATTCAAGGCATGGACAAATGATAGACTTATAGATATGCAAGGTCGATTTGGGGGAGAAACATTGTCTGTAACGACACAGCGAACCGATTTTCTTAGTAGATCACCTAGCAATGGATTCAATATAGTCTTTCTACTTCATGCCAAACGAGAATGTTACCCCTAAAAGGCCCAACGAATCAATATAGTGAAGTTTAACATTAGCGATGCCGATGGAAGACAGAGACAGGACTCTCATATAATTAATAGAAAGCATTTTTACCTTGGAGGCGTTAAAATTAAAAAGCCATTCATTTCCTGAGTTAACAACAGACTGTAATCGTTTTATGGATCAACCACCAATTTCGCCTTTTCTTTTTTATCTCTTGAATTTCTTTTATTTACTAGCAGTATAACCCGTTTTTGACCGGGTCTTTCATTACTGGGAATTTTTGCCGTTCATTTGGAGCAGTTTAAGTTTAAAGTTAGCCCACCCGCAAATAAATAACGACATTTGGGTGAAACTGAGGCACATCCCTAAATGGGGGGGGGTAGTTAAAAATTTGAATTGAGAAGTGGCCCTAAAAAGGGAACTGTATAATAATAAATAATATTATTGTATTAATTTAATCTACAGTGTAACCCGGATATAAGAGAGTTGTCGGGACCGGAGAAGAAGTCTCTTATATCCGGTGTTCTCTTATATCCGGGTTTGGTCTGTTTTATATACATTAACTCTCTCTATCACTATCTCAAAGAAAAACCATTAACATATAAAAGTTTTATACATATAAAAGTTTTATACAAAAGAGATTCTAGTGTCCAGAAATTTATAATAGCACTCTTGAAAACAAAGATTATTGTTGTTATGAATAATCAAGAGTGGTCTCTCCTTGTTTTGTTACTCTTCTATTTGAGAGAGCTATCTATGTTTACTGGGACTATAAAAGGACACTATACGCATTGAATAATGATTTCTTAAAACCTAACCTGCGTACTTTTGTCATTACAATTGTATGTAGAAATTATCATTGTATTCAAACAAATTCAACAAATTCAAGTTTTGATCCCACCCCAAATAAAACGGTAGAATTTCTATAAAATTTAGAAATTAAAACGTTCATAATATTTTAATTTGTTTTCCTACCAAAAGTAACAACCAGTTGGTTACGGTGCATTGTCAGATAAAATATTCGTCTCTAGCGGTCTGACAGTTGAAGGTAAAGCATTGTCATTGTTCATTAAAACCATGATGCAAGTTTCTTGCTTCGGTTAAAAAGTCTAAGTTTGTTGCTTATAAGTACTCTGCTATTTCACATGTGACGTTTTCAATATTTTCTCTAATAGTAATCCAGATCTTTCATTGTAATAAAAAAAAGAAAAAAGATAAAGAAAACTAAATATATAAGCACGAATGATTGTTCAAATATGTAAAATTGAGGCTGAAATATATTTTAGAAATTCTTTCGAATGTCTGAAAGAAGAGGAGAAATTTCAGGAAAATGGATTTCTGGATGTAGAATAATGAATCGGAAAAATGATTTTGTAAGAATCCAAAACAAAGCACACCAAATTTTAAGGAGATTTTCAGCAAATCACCGTCATTAAAAATGGCCGCGAAGGCCGTAATTATATTAATAACAAAAGCGAATTACGTATGCTTAGAAATAAGGGAGGTAATCTGTGCTGGGAAAATTCCATTTATAAGCAATAACTGAAAGAAATCTATTTAAAGAAGAAAGGAGTGAAAAAAAAAGAAATGGGGAATGTGGGTGATGCAGGAGAAGAGAAAAGTAAAAGAAGAGTGAGAGGAAATATTAATGTGAAAAGAAGAAGAGAAAAGACAGATTTAAACAGAATAGTAAAAATAATAAAAGTATACTGAATAAAAATGAATATGTTGCAAGAATGTGGAAAAACAAATGAAGAAGAAATAATACGAAAGAAGAAAAAACGTGAAAAAAAAAGCAAAACAGAAAAGAAAGGAGATAGAGACAGATAGAAGAAGAAGAAGAAGAAGAAGAAGATTTGAAAGGGAAGAGAAGTTGGAAGAGGAAAGTGTAATGGGTTAAAACGAAGGAAATAAAAACGTTGAACTGTCGAAGAAAAAGAAAAAGAACGAAAGAGAAAGGAAAAAAAGATGGTAAAATAAATAGCTAAAGGATAAAAGAAGGAAATCAAAAGAAAGAGAACAAATGAATTTATCTAACATCAGGATAGGCGTTAAAAGAGATGAACAGGAAAACGGAAAAAAAAGAACGAAAGTAAAAAAAATAGAAATTTAGTAAAAGAATGAAAATGAAAATAAAACCTAACAAAGAAGAAGAAGGCTTAAATTCCTCTTTCGTTCACATTTTTTTAGAAGTTTAAGCCTTCTTCTTGGGGAAAAAAGCGAACGAAAAGAAAAAAGATGAATTTTTTTTTAAAAAATGGATAAGAACAAAAAGTTCATCTATAAAAGAAGAAAAGTAAAAGGTAGAAAATATATACACTAAAAGCGAAATAAAGAAAAAAGAAAAAGAATGAATGAATGAATGAATGAGGGGGAAAAAAAAAGATAGCCTAGAAAAAAAGGTTGAAGGAAGTAACAGTTAAAAAGCAAACGAGGAAAAAAGACTGAAAAAAAAAACAAATATATTGATGATGTTCATTTAGAAAAAGAAATAATTAGAAAAAAATATCATCTAATTACAAGAGTTATATGATCATAAAATCAATTGGAATTAAACCTCTTTTTTATTATTAGAATTCCAGGCTTAATCAGAAGATGTCGCCACTTTATGATCATTTATCAGACAATAAAATGTCTGGAATATTTTAATGGCGGAAAACATTGAAGTTCAAGAACATACAAAATTACATCATTTTTTTTTAATTTTTTGATATTTGTAAAGATTTTTTTTTTTACTTTTAATTTCACTTTCTTTCTTTTTTTCACTCGGTCATTCTTGATTTTTCTATCTCTTCTTTGTTCTTTCTTTTCCAGATATTTTCACTATTTGCGGGATGTGCACGTGTTAGGAATGAAAATCGGAGATTCGAGTTCGAATTACAGTCGGTTTTATTTACTTTCACTTACGCGCAGTTACCCTCGGGAATGTTATGAATCATTTCTTCGTACCCTCCGCTATGGGTTAAATAGCAGAGCATATTGGGTTGCATATAGTTGTGGTTAGAAATCAATCGGGGAGAAGGACAACACTGAATTGAAAGCCGCATCTGACAATGAAACCACATTCCCAGTTACCATTTGGCAAAGCCTAGCGCCAAAAAGCCACTTTTGCTAGTCCTACAGTAAAGTTATCAGCAGCAAAAAGTACTTTCTCTGGTCACTGGAAGAATCTCATCAACCACACATGTTGCACTGAACTATAATGGTGTCATGCAAAAAGATCTTGGAAAATGGACTTAATTATTCCGAGTCAGATGGAAGATGTGGGAACAAATGGGAGGCGTTTCGTGTCTTATATGCGCAACCGAAAAACCTATGATGAGATATGGGGGTGTCTTAACAGGCGACCCTAGTTAGTAGCTACATATTTTACCTATTTACTTCGAATTGCCAATATGAGAGACCGGGTACATGACAGGCACTGGCACGAGAAACGAAGTCAGTAGGTTCAAATCCAGTCGCTGACGATTCAATCAGTTCCCTCTGATATCCTTAAATATAATTTCACCAGTACTTTATTTTCTATCGAACGTCTTAACAAAATTGACATGCGGGAGGACAAAGAACCTTCCTCAGTAACCTCATGAGTATTGATTGATTGATTGATTCGGTTTCAACGGTTTATTGACCATTTACAGGTTATTCAAATCAAGAAAACTTTCATTTTAGATGGTATAATAATTTAGTCGATAGTGATTTAATGATGCAAGTCATAGTAATTAACCCATATCTGGGAGGAGAAGAGATGGATCCATTACTTTCACAAATGTATGTGTCGGTAAATGAATATAACGAACCCAAAGGGAATTGGAAGTCGGCTCTCCGATTAACAATCCCGAAAAGTTAACCATTTTACCACAAGCGTACAGAACCTAGTATTCCCAAGCGGTGATCCATCTAGTTATTCATCTAGTTAAAGACTCGGCGTATCTTAACTTCACGTACGGGAACCGGTATTGCAACGTGACATGGCCGTAAGCCTATAAATATCTACATGTCGTATTTTGGAAAGTCTCAAATTACTCAGATATTGCTTCCAATGTTTTAAGATGGCTCGATTTATTTTCCTTTTGTATTTTCTCTGTTCAGGAAGTGAGAGATCAAAGCTGTCCACAACTTCCTGTCCCTTGTAGCTCTAAGGAACGTTTCATTCTTTACCATCCCTCATTATCTCTGCCCTTCCGCCTATTCATACAAATGCGATCATGACTCTCCACAATTTCCTGTCTCTTGTAGCTCTAAGCAACGTTCCATTGTTTATCATCCCTCATTATCCCTGCTCTTCAGTCTATTCACAGAAAAATATGGGCGATCATGACTCTCCACAATTTCCTGTCTCTTGTATCTCTAAGCAACGTTTCATTCTTTACCATCCCTGCTATTCCGTCTATTCAAACAAATATATAGGCGATCATAGCTCTCCACAACTTCCTGTCACTTGTAGCTCTAAGCAACGTTTCATTCTTTACCATACCTCATTATTCCTGCTCTTACGGCTATTCACACAATAGTATGGACGATCACGACTCTCCACAACTTCCTGTCTCTTGTAGCTCTAAGCAACGTTTCATTTTTTGCCATTCTCCATTATTTCTACTCTTCCGTTTATTCACACAAATATATGGGTGATCATAGCCTTACATATCTCCCTGTCCCTTTTAGCTCTAAGCAGCAGTTGACTCTTTACCACCCCTCTTTTTCTTCGCGCTGTCATCCATCTATACAAGCCCATTACGTGTTTGGACATTCCTTCCTTAAGTAAGTTCAAAATCCTTTTTCTTCATAATGTGTCTTAAGAATTCCAAGAGTCTATTTCTTATTTTGGAGATAAGAGTACATCCTATTCGCATTTTTCAAACTTCCCCATTCCCACCACGTTTATTCAATGGTATACTTAGTATCCATGTGAAGAACTGCAATTCAGTTTCAGTGAAGCGACTGGGGTGTCGTTCTTGTAATTGAAGATAAAAAAGAGACTCGAAACGGTTCGTGGTACTTTTGAATACTAACCTGACCCACATGTTCATTTCCCAGGGGTGGCCGCAATATTTTCTAATTTTCCCGTTACATTTCTGACCAGGCCTATAATTTGGCAAATTATTTCTTATTTTGTTGCTTGTCCATAAGAAACAATGCTAGTTTTTTTTTTTTTTTGCATGTGGTGATCGGCCAAGATTTCGATATCCTGGTGTATTTTACTTATATCAGCCTATAGCTTTTGTAGCGACATATAGCACCAAATACAAAGCTCGACAGTCACTCAAACTAGAGTATTACTGTAAAAATGTTGTTTTTGAATGAGGTGTGTCATATGAATTGAAGAGAACATGTTAAGTATTGAATGTTATGGGGCTAAGGAGAAAAGATGCCTATTGACCCTGGACTTGAAGAGCTCTTCGCTATACCATCGGCTGAATTTGAGAAATTTGTGGGAAACAAGTATTGTTTCGTTACAGCGTATATTTCAGGAAGATAATGTTTTAAACCAAGTAGACTTAATCATTAATAATAATAATAATAATAATAATAATAATAATAATAATAATATGAAATTTAGCGACTACTTTATCTCCTGGTGACAGGATTTCAGAATCTGCGAAATTAGTATGAATTACTATTTCTATAAATTTTATTTATCGAAAAATAGTAACAGAATGAGATAGATAGATAGATAGATAGATAGATAGATAGATAGATGTAAATAGAGCAGAATGAGATAAATATTTAGATAGATATGAACAGATACATAGAGATTCGAGCAGATAGATAGAAATGAACAGACTCAGATAGATAGATAGATAGATAGATAGATAGATAGATAGATAGATAGATAGATAGATATGAACAGACTCAAATAGATAGATAGATAGATAGATATCAACAGATTGTGATAGATAGAAAAGAAAGAAAGAAAGAAAGAAAGAAATGAGCACGCTTAGATAGATAGATAGATAGATATGAACAGACTCAAATAGATAGATAGATAGATAGATAGATAGATAGATAGATAGATAGATAGATAGATATCAACAGATTGTGATAGATAGAAAAGAAAGAAAGAAATGAGCACGCTTAGATAGATAGATAGATAGATAGATAGATAGATAGATAGATAGATAGATAGATAAAAAGAGAAAGTGAGGTAGATGTAGTGTGTGTTTGCGTGTGTGTATAAAAGCATAAAAGTGCATTGTGGGATAACGCTCAAACGTGAACATCATAAAATGAGCGCTTTTGTGGTGAAAATAATGTGGTTAGTAATTTTTTTTTCAATTTTACAAGGTTAAACTGATTGCCAAGGAAACATCTCTGTTGCTACTATTCTCTTCAGAACCCAGTAACCATTCCCTTTCGTTCATTCCATCAACACGTTTTGATGAAAAGTAAAATACATGTCCTTATCTCTACAGTCAACAGGCCGGACACATCTCCCCAGGGTTGTTTATTAAAGCCACTTTTCAAACAAAATATTCACGTCGCTGTCATTTTTGACGGATGGAATAACCCTCAAATGTCTCCCTCTTGCTTGCAACTCACAAATTGACACGTTTATTATTTTTCTATTACCAATTCCGAGTGATGCTGATAATATATTTAGGTACTTTTTTGACTGCTTCTTCCGGTGAAATTTTGTCCATTTTGTTCCGTTTCATTAAGATACTTTTCGCTTATTACACACCGATTTCTTTCTTTCCACTTTTTCTTCATGACCATTAGTTGTACAAATACAATTTTGTACTTACAACCTTAATAATAATAATAATAATAATAATAATAATAATAATAATAATAATAAGTTAACCTAGGTCATTAGTTTTACACATGTTAAATAGCGAATAGATGTTCCTAAAGTACCTGGCGATATCACAGATAATATTCTAAAGAGAACATCGGAAACAAAAGAATACACGAAGCGGGCACTGAAAGATAATTTAAAAACAAAACGCCAACGCTGCTTCATTGTCAGTTTGAGAACCATCGGATTGATTGACGAAAAGGTGACTTGCAACGAGCGACTAAGAACATAATTGTTGCGGCACTAGATCACGACCTGAATATTACTTTTTTATCTGGAAGAACATCTAACGCCAATTGGATTAGGAAAGGTGCAGGCTGTGTGGCAAAACGTTTGAAAATGTCACTATATCAATAGAGTTTCTCGAATCCTTGCTACAAATCCAGCAACTAAAAAGTGACCTCTCGTTAGAAGCTAAGTAGGAACTCGAAATCGACGAGAAATAGCATCGCCACAAGACAGTGAAAGTGATGGAAAAAGATCAAGTCAAGATATTCTGGCATTGGAACATTCAAACAGAGTGCGTGCCTGAGGACATCAAACTAGGTATCACCACATTTGAAGAACAAATACTATTAATACATATGTTTTATCTTATTATATTATCAAGTCAAAGAAATTGAAAATCTTCAAAATTACACTGATCTCAGGATTAATGTCGTCAGATTGTGAGACTTTCAGGCAATTATTGTGCAAAGTTATTATTAGGGCGTTGGTGTCTATACCGGTGAAGCTCAACAGTCTTCGTTGCTTGACACTGAAAATATTCAGCTAAATTTTCTATCTATGTATATGAAAACATATGACTTGATGAAGAGCAACCATCATGCAAGATATTCAAAGAGAAAATCCGTTCAAAAGAGGATAATAATAATAATAATAATAATAATAATAATAATAATAATAATAATGAAATCGAAATCCCAAAATGTGGCACATGGAACATCAACAATCCCCGTTGTAGTTGGAGCCCTCGGATTGGTTGGAAAAAAAGATCCCCAGTAGACTAATTGGAGTGATCCCCTGGAAGCCCATGCCATAAAGAAATACAAAAAATGTTCTCAAAGTACAGTAAAAAACTATGCAAATACAAGGACTTTGAAATCGAAATCTCAAAGCTATGACACATAACATCAACAAAATTCCAGTTGTAGTTGGAGCCCTCAGTTTGATTGGAAATAGACTCATTGAAGTGATTCCTGGTAGCCCATGCCTTAAATAAATACAAACAAAAATTGTTCTCACAAGTATATAGCCCACACCTTCCATAGGTTTTTAAATTGCCCAGTAGAAAATGCCATGATGCTATTTCTGACTTTAGGTCTCGGGTCAGACCCGGAAAGAAATGGGTATACACCAGAAATGAATAATAATAATAATAATAATAATAATAATCTCTATCTATAAAAGGCAGGATGTGTGTGTGTGTGTGTGTGTGTGTGTGTGTGTGTGTGTGTGTGTGTGTGTGTGTGTGTGTGTGTGTGTGTGTGCGCGCGCGTAACGAATGCACGGTTGCAATTTGTACCAAAATTTACATGCACATGCTCCAAGTTAGCGGGAAGGCCAAGACTGACTTTGCATTTCCCAACTCCCATCGATAGTGAAAATAATCGATTTTTTCATGCTTCTACGGCAGTTTTCATGTAGTCTGCGGCCATTTCCCATTGGCCAGAGTTAAAGTCTATAGCTGGCTGCCACGAATAGGCAGGAAGATTCTATTGGCCAGCGTGAGAGCCAACAGCTGACTGACACGAATGTTAACTAGCATGCTAGCATGCAAGAAAAAAATAGATAGATGTATTCGTCACAAGTGGGAAAAATTTAAATCTGCATGGTACTTTACTCAAATTGGCTCATTCGCTTGCTTAAACTTAACGTTGATTCTGATTCCGCAGAACTGGGTTTGGTGAGAAAAAGTAATTGTTGTTAACATTCTTTTTTCATTCCGTTTTTCCAGTTACAAGTCATTTTTTAAAGCTGATCGTTTTGTGTTCATTTTGTTCAGTTCTTTTTTCATAACAGATTTAATGTTTAGTATAGAGCTTAGAAAAAAATCGCAGTGTGACATAGGCAAGAAGTTAGGCGTGTAGCAACATCAGCACGTCAAAGGGCACTCCTTTAAAGGCAAGGAAGGGCAAAGTCAAGTGATAGCGATGGCTGTATGAGTCGTACGATTTTTGAATCAAGCACGGGCAACGCCGGGCCATACTGCTAATAATAATAATAATAATAATAAAGCGTTAATAACGTTACTGAAAAACTGCAGGAATTGACAAGGTACCGAACGTTTGTCACGATCATCTGTCACTGTCCCATAAAACCCTTAAAGAAACATTAGCGGTTTTATTGTCTTGTATATGGAGGAATATATATATATATATATATATATATATATATATATATATATATATATATATATATATAGTTACCAACAAAACTTCCTCATTTTTTTTAATTAGTTTTTTAATTAGTTTAGGATTTTTAAAATATATTTCCAATTATTTTAATAATTTCGTTAGCCACCATCAAAAAATATTTTTTTCGTCTGGTCGGTTTAATTTTTAAATATCGTGTTTCGCGTCTTCAAGGGAAAGTTCATTTCTTTCATTCTTTCTTGATTGAAACAAATAATTATTTAGTATATTAACTAAAACCAATTAATAATTTATCTGATTGTATTTTTTTTACATCTTTTAAATATTTTAACCATCCACTTTATCTGAAAATTTGTTTTATCATGATTGTTACTACCAAATGATCCCCACCCCCAAATGTTTCCAGCCATAACTACAACACAGCCATCCCTAACTGCTAAGCAGAGCTATTGAAACGATAATCTGCTCCAAACTGACCAAGTGGAAAGACAACGAGCTCTATCATAAAGTTTTCGTAAAAATAAACTTGCAAAGAAAAAAAAGCCAGCTTTCTTCCCAGTCTTCTTCCTCATCAGAGAGTATTGAGAATGACTTTTGTTAAGGCAACTGTACATCATTTTTTTTTCTCGTCTATAAAACATCTTTAGATGGAGACGAAAATATATTATTACTTTTGCACTATTTTATCTTATCTTATCTAAACAACGATGTATTCGTCACTGACACAGGAAATTAAATATTCGCTTGACATGGTCAAATTTGACTCAAGGCTAAATTCCATGAAATAACCTGCAAGGAAATGTCCACGAAGAGGAGGTTGCGAGCACATCGGACAGAGCGTTGTAAGATAGGTTCTCTGTGTAATAGTTCTGTAACAAAATTAATAGATGCCCCTGGTCTTATTCCTTGATCACCCCCTATTGAATTAACCCACCAACAGTCGCTTACACAAGAAGATGAATGACCATTCCGTTGGAGAACATTCTCCCTTAGATATATGCACGACGAAGCCAATATTATTCAATCTCAAATACTGGACAAACTTAAACATTATTCAGTACTATGATATCGAGTTTGTGGGGTCTGGACATTTTTGTCGTGAAGTCACATGCCTGTTATTTTTCAATTGATTGACTGATTCAAAAGAGGTTCGTGATATATGGACATCATGTGATTGATTCGTTTTTTACGGCTTGTCAACCCATTGAAAGTTATTTAACACCAAAAATATATTTTTTTAGATAATAATGGTTTAGCGTTACAAGCTTTACTAATTAACCCATAGCTGGGGGTAAGTGGTGGATTCCTATCTTTTCCAAGGGTATATGCACGTAATTGAATATAACAAACCAAACGGGATTTGGAATTCGGTTCTCCGATTAACGATTCCAAGCCATTATCCATTACGTCACCCGCTGATGCAAGATTGCAGCACCTGGCATTCGCAAGTGGTCACCCATCTAGGTACTGACCAGGCTTGACGTTGCTTTACTTTGGTGATCTTAAGGAAACCAATGTTTCGATGTGATGCGGCCCTAAGCCTTATAATTCAAAAAACAAAATATTAATAATGTTTCCAGTAAGTAGTCCTGACGTCCTGGCATATCCTGGAGTTTTCTTTTAATTTCAGTGTTCAAAGACTTATTGCTACTATTTTCGCGTAGAAAAGTCCTTTGGATTTATATATTTCTCTTGAATTGTTCCTATCAATTCCTATCTACGTTTGTATCATTTTGTGCTAATAATCTTTGTTATTACTTTCATTTATTTAAATGAAAATATAGAAAAAGATAGCAGGTTAATGATTACTTAGTGACATACACTAATTATTATATGTTTAACATTTTTATTATTATATATATATTCATATTAATAACCAAAAATAATGCGTTTGTCATCGGGGTTGGAGTGACAGAAGACGTAATTAAATGTCCAGCATTTTCATTTAGTATCCATGCAGAGATTCCTGTCCTGCGCAGTTCTCAAATTAACACTTTATCTATTCTCCTCATTGAGAAGACATTTTCTATGGACGTCTATTTTGGATATTTTAGTTGCTTACTTTAGTGACATATCAACAATTGTTAGGTCAATTAATCTCAAATGTACATCTTATATGACAAAAAAAACAATGAATTAATAAATAATTGAACATAGGACCAGTTTACACTTGAATCAATGTTCAGAGTACACTAGATTATCAGAAAGATAGACATAGGCCCAGTTTACACTAGAGTCAAAGAGGTAGAACTGGGTCCGTTTTACATGAGAGTCAAAGAGGCAGAACTAGTTTCGTTTTACACGGAAGTCAAGAGGTAGAACAATGTTCGGTTCAGACGAGATTCAAATAGGATCAACTAGTCTGTTTGCACAAGAGTCAAAGAAATCCGTTTTCCGCGAGAGTTATAGAGGTAGAACATGGTCCGTTTCACACGAGTGTCAATGAGACAAAAATAGGTTCGTTTTACACGAGAATCAAAAAGGTAAAACAAGGACCGTTTTACACTAGATTTAAAGAAATAGAACAATGTCCGCTTTACACAAGAGTCAAAGAAATAGAACGAGGTTCGGTTTGGACTAGAATCAAAACTGCCATATAGTTTTGGTTTAAAAGGTAAACGTGGCTTCAATTTAATTTAGAATCAGAAAGGTAGACATTGGTCCGGTTTACATTACAGTCACAAGAAATAAACAAAGATTTATACTAGTGTAAACAAGTCGTGAGTTTCGTAGTCTTTGTATACGAGCATTCAAGTTGGTCCCCATCTGGACATGAGGCATTTATCATATTTTATGTTCTACCGTCACAGTTATCCAATATTTAAAAGACCCCGAATATATATATATATATATATATATATATATATATATATATATATATATATATTTTCCTACTTTCGGCCCTGTTTTTTTTTGACATTTGTCATATTACTGTCACCCCTTTAGACATTTCTAGTGACTATTGCTGGAAGACAAGGGAAAGTAAACCTGTAACCTTCTCGTCATGATTGTTGTTTATTTCAAAATTAGCATCTGTTGTGTGCCTTAAGATTGTCATTGGTTTTCTGACAGCTTCAGTATCTTTTGTAAGACTAATTGGCCCTTCCCAATGTTTCAAGGACTATAGAGACCATCTTTATATTCTGCGATTTTCATATCTCTCAGACAAACTTTTGATACTGAATATTTTATCTCTTAAATTGCCCATTAAGTCGATCATTGATGATTATTTATTTCCAGACAATATCTAGATCTAGTCATTGAGCTTGTAAAATCCTTAAATATCGTAATATTTAATATGTTCAATGACCGGTGCTGTTTTCCTCCCCCCCCTCTCTCTCTCTGTCTCCCTCTGTCAGTGTGTAATTTCTTTATACCATTATTGTATTCGTTTCGGTCGTTGTACGCTATGGCCTTCTTCAGGTGATTAGAATTTCGAACCGAACGCCTTATTTCATCCACCAGGGTAAGCTGTTCTAGTTCTACGTGCCACGCCTCTTCAGAATATCTCAGTATATGTTATTTCCGTTTATCTCAATTCCCCAAGTTTTTCTTCACTTCTACTGTGACCAGGTATTGAAGACAAAACTCTTTAGGTCAAGTCACAGGATTTCATTCTTGTATATTTCTTAGATATGTTTATTTTTCCAGTACATTTTTATATGATTTAACATTCATTACCGATTATTACTGCATCTTTAATACCGTGTAGAACTCAAAATAAGTGGTATTAAATTGCTATTATTATTTATGACAATTCATGTCCTGCCCCAGCTATGGGTTAAGTAATAGTACTTGCGTCTGGAAAATGTATAGTTATTATCAAAGTATTATTAAAAATTATTTTAGAATTTTAGATATATTTTGGCTTCAAATAAACCAGGAAGGGTTGATAAACCGTAAAAATATACAAACTATTTGATTTAAGAATCCATTTTATAATAACAATCATTAATCCAAGCTTATCCGGCTTTATCCCGTGTAGAACTGTCAGCAAGTGATATTAAGTCAACATTAGTAATTATTATCGACCCATCCCCCCAGCTATAGGTTAAACAGCAGAGCATGTATCTGGAAATTTTATTATTTTCAGACTATTTTAATGCCATATTCACTTGCAAAATAGTTATTCTTTTTAAAATCTTAGATATATTTTGGCTTTAAATAACCCACAAAAGATCGATAAACCGTAAAAATTACATGAATTATTAATGATTTAATGTTTCCTTTTATTATTCATACTGATATTGCATCTTTGATTCAGGCGTATCCGATGATGCTCCATGGAGCTCGATTGTCAACAAGAGATATTAAATAGCCAGCCTGTTTTTCAGTAACCATGAAGTTTACAGGAGTGAGGTGATCTCTAGTATTTCAATTCTTTCTAGACTCTTCAACGGCCCCTACCATTAGGTAAGGAAATTTGAAACTTTCCCAGGACTTTAGTTATCATCAGCATTATTTTCTACAGCCTTTGAACTTTTCATGCAATTTTTTTATTTCCTTTTTTTCCCCTTATACTAGTTTAATTTTAACTCTAGATCAGCCATGATATCCACATCCATTTCTTGAAGCAGCTTCTTTTATTTTCTACCTCCGATTATATCTGGCTTTTTCTGGCTGGAAGCGAGCTATTTCTTCGAATGATAAAATCTCAAAAGATGTTTCTAATTAAAAAGAAGTTACTTTTGCCTGTTCTCATACCAATTTACTTATACGTTCAAACTGATTCACTATCCTCGTCTTCACTTTCCTGTGTTTAACCCATAAATGTCGGGAATAGGTTGCCCAAACGTGCATGCCAAATAGTTAAAAAAAGAATATTAATTTTTAAAATGAAGGTCTTCTAAATATTCGCTTTATTTTTTTCCTTAATCTCTTCACCCCAAGCAAGGCAATATATCCACTAGGACACAAGCGGTTACTGAGTGTTAGAGAATACGTAAAAAATGTATTAAAGAGAAGGAACAATAAAAGAACAGGAATTAAGAAGACAGAACATAAATGACAGTGAACTTAAATGCTTGAACATCAAAGTTCAGTGAAAAGCCGTAACTTTCCACAAGCAAAGAAGACGAGATAAGAAGCTATCAGCATAGAAGTTGTGGTTGCATCAAGCCCTTTTTATAGTAAAATGATGAGTCGTTGCCACCAATCTAGTAATATGCTTAGATTCATGAAGTCTTGATTCCATACAAGACATTTCGTCAGAACAATTACCATGAAAGTATATATAGAAATGGCACAGGGAATACACGGCGATATGAAGTGAAAGAAGTTGAGATGTTAGCTCAGCACCAATAACATTGTAGATTCTTCTTTGGATATTAACAAAAATTTCCAAGTATATAACCGCTGCTCCAGAACAGATGTTGTTGATATGATGGTCATCCCGAACATTATTATTATTATTATTATTATTATTATTATATAGTAATTGTGCTTGCCCCTCCCTTCGTTAGATTCTTAGTTCGCACGACCGTTACGTCAAACCAATACCTCAAAAAACAATGGACTATTCCATTTTGATCGTGTCAGGAGACAAAAGACAAATCAAGGATGCTATTTGGTTTCAGTGAGAAAATGAAAGAAAGAAGGAAAGACAGAACTGTTTAACGATTGTTTCAGTAAAATGTATAAAGTTGTCAATTTCAATTCTTTTCATTTGTATCACGTGACTACTTAAAATAAGGACCAGCATTCATATTTATGATTTTGTTGTTGCAATATTTTATTTAAGTTATGAAGCTCAAATATTTAACGATACTATAACGAATATTTTATTGCCGTAAATGTCGCCATTAACATATTCAATCATTAACTCAAGAGTTAAGATTCATCAGAAATTTCAAATAGGACAACCGTGACTAGTTATTATTATTATTATTATTTCCTCGACTTTCGTTGTATCCAAATTTTCTTCCAGATGACAACCAGAGACTTGAGGTCAGAAATAACTTCATGAAGTTTTGCACAGATCAATATTAAAAAAAAACAAAACAAGATCACACATATTCTACATAGATAAAGCTTTTCGTAATGTGTGAGCTGTACTTGTGAGTACAATTTTATTATTATTTTTATTTTCTTTGATTTCTGGCGTTTACACATTTCTTTCCGGGTCCCGCCCAGGTACCTAAGGTTAGAAATGGCATCATGACACTTTCCACTGACAAAAAAAAAAATATTACATAGATAAAGCCATTCGTAAAGTGCGGGCTTTACTTGTGAGAACAATTGTTTGTATCTCCTTGAGGCATGGACTTCCAGGAATCCCTTCAATTAGTCTACTGGAATCTTTTCCAACCAGTCCTAGGGTTCCAACTACAACAGGGATTGATGTTCCCACATGCCACATTTCCGAGATTTCTATTTCAAGTTCCTTGTATTTTGACAGCTTTTTGAATATCTTCAAAGATACATTGCAGTCAGCAGGGACTGCCATATCAATAAGGAGCAATTATTATTATTATTATTATTATTATTATTATTTGTGTATGTTATCTTTCCTGAAATGTATCCTGTA